ATAAAGTTAAAAATCCAGACGAGTGTCTGACTGTCCATCTCTCTGTCTCCCTCTGCAGTCAACTCTGTATGTGGTGGACCCTCTCTCCTGGTGTCCTCACCTGGATGCCGTTAAGCCCCTCCCCTCCTCGGGTATAGACGTCTTCCGGCCGTGTCAGGACTGCGGCTCAGAGGCTGAGAACTGGATCTGTCTCACTTGCTACCAGGTCACACGTCATACCTGTGCATCACATGCATCCAAGACGTGTTTCACCTGCTGACCTGACTCTGCCATCTGCGTATTTCAGGTGTTCTGTGGTCGCTATGTGAACGAACACATGGTGAATCACGGAGTCGTGTCTGAACATCCCCTGGTTCTCAGTTTCTGCGATCTCTCTGCGTGGTGCTACCAGTGTGAGGCCTACGTACACAACCAGGTGATGCTACTACCTGGATAGTTACAGTTAATTTAACTGAACACCTGTTGGGACACATAAACCCCTCAAACAGTAAACAAAGTTATCATGCTTTGTAACGTTTACTCAGAGATATTAATGTCATGCTACAACAATAATTCAGTGTCATAAATCCAACCCTGAGCCTGGTTTTAACAGGTTTTAATTAAACCAAATATATCTGATGTAAAAACTAATAATAGATCTTGAATTTGCACATATAAGTGTTACCAAGGCTGGTTCACAGCCCTGAACATGACCAGGAAATAATAATTCAATTAAGAATGATTGTGGTTTACTGGAGACACACAGCCAAGCTTTGTGTCGTGAAACTAGACGCACATAAAAGTGAAACTTCACGGTACGTCATTGAGATTCTTTCAAGCTCAGTAAAGAAATTTCTCTGCTCTGTTCCTTCAGCATTAGCTTCCCTTTGTTTCCATTCTGTGCTTAGTTACTTTGTTACTGTGCAGGTAAAAGTGTAGCCAGCTGTTTTGTTTGGTGCCACTTTATAAACACAAGCCAAAATTTAAAAGAACCTGAAAAGATGTGGACTGGATTAAAACTTTTAAAGTACGGAAAGCCATTTGTTTCAAACATGTCCTGGCTTTCACAGCCAGTGTTTATATGCACTGACAGTGATGATCACGTTTCTTCTTCTGTTGTTCAGATTCTGTTTGAAGCTAAAAACGCTGCTCACTGCGCCAAGTTTGGAGAGGAGATCCCCCCCTGGAGCTGAGCGTAAAACCTCATGTATGCAGCTGTTTCTCGCTTTTCTTCTCGCTGTCTTCCTTCTCTGTGATTGGACGGTTGAGTGCATTGCTACAGATACCAGCAGCAGTGGTGCTTCCTGGGGAAACGCTGTTAAATTCACCAGCTTTGTACGGCGTCCCACAACTGCCAAAACACAAAAACTCACGTGCAAAGCAAAAGATGTTTTTATTTGTATTTTTTACTTCAGACACTCAGTGATCTTCATCGTCATCAGCAAGTTGTCAGTTCTACTCTCCGAAAATGTGATCCAACACCAGCATGCTGTTAACACTTTTATTTTGAAAATCATGAGCGGAAGAAGTTGAAGAAGCAAAAAGAAGAAGACAGACATTTTCAGTAAAACAGGAAGAATTTTGGCTCAGGAGGACTTCATTCTCAAGTCATAGTGGTGATGATGTCACCAAGAGGCCACGCCCCCTCCAGAGAGTGTTGCCAAAATGTGACTGACGGCGTGATGACCGTCCATCAGACCGAAACAATCAACATCAGAGTTTAAAAAACTAAAAAAGTCTGAAAACAGAAACTTATTTTAGGAATTTTAGTTAAAATCAACCTTTTTTCTTTCCAGCTAAAATGTTGCAGCAATAAATCTGTGAGAAAGATCAATAACTGAGTTCATTGATTTGTTTTGTTCCATAATATAAAAAAAAAATCATTTCTCTGACGTAAAGCAGCCGAAGAGAAAACAGATCAATAGACTTTTAAAAAAAACAGCTGATTGCTTTTGTTGTCGGTGAGATCGGA